AAGTGATTTTTGAAATGCAAGAAATGAAAAAAATTATAAACAAGTGTATTTACGAAAAATGTCTTTTTTTTTTTTTTTTTCGTCTATATTGTTTTATCTATATGTAAGGGTCCAAATATTTGCGCGGGTTTTTTTTTTTTTTTTTTCTCGTGAGCGAAAGTTTTTTTTCAATAAAATACCAACGAGTTGTAAATATTTAAGAAACGTCCAGCGATTCGGTGAAATAAAATCGAACAAGTTATAAATTAATCTGGGGCGGACAGATTATTCAATAGAGCTGATGCAAAGGAGCAGAAGGCTGAGAGGACAAAACAAAAGTATTCAAAAGATGACTGTTATCATGTTGGAGAAAGTCTTCATAATCATCTTCTTCTTCGGTAATATAATAAGAACTTTCTGAACTATCGACCTGCATCGAGTTATTAAAATCAGAAGGCAACAAAGTTTCAAAGAATCCAGTAGCAGCACTTGAAACGGCATTTAAATGTGAATTTGAAGGATCAATATTCATAGTAGAGAAACCATCATACATTCTATTCCAATCATTTGACTCAAAACGAAGAGAAGAACGATCGCAAAAAGTGGGAGGAGTATTTGGAATGGAATCATTGCTAGTCCAACTACCGGCAGATTCAACAGAACTTGATCTGTAATGACCGTTCCAAAAGGCTGAAGGACTTTCATTATGAGAAGTTTCAATTAAATAATTTTCAACATTCCTTCTTGAAAGTTCCTCTGAAAGGATTTGAGTTTGAGATTGATATTTCTTTTGAATATTTTTAGGAGCTTTTAAACCGATAGAAGCGTTTAAAGCATTCAAGTTTTTTTGTGCCTTCTTTTTAGGGGAAAATTTATAATTAGGGTATTTGTTCATATGTTCGATTTTCAATTGTTGAGCGTGTTCTCTCCAGTATTGTTTAACATCTTCGGGTTCACTGTTCCACATTTTAGCAGCGATAACTGAAACCACCTTATTATTCATTCCGGGATTTTCAGCTAAAATGTTATGTTGCATTTGTTCGCGATATGCCATGAAGCAATTTTTAGGACGTGGGATATGTCCATTATTTTTTCTCCTTCTCCATGAACTTGGAGCCGAACTTTTATTATCTAAAGTTAACTTTGGAATGTTAAATTTAGGGGAAGAACAGCAAGTTGAAGAAGCGGAAGAGGAACAAGTTGGAGAAAGTGGAACAGGATTATCCGCTAAATTCGAATTATTTGAACTATCAGAGGTATTATTATTCTTTGGTACTAATAAAACTTCATAACCTTTTGGAATATGATAAACGTCATATTCAGGTTTTTCCGTTGGAGCTGGAGCTATTTGTCTAAATTTTGTTACTGGTGAATTATTTTCAGAAGCGGAAGAAGTTATTGTAGTTGTGGGAGAGAGAGCTTGTGTTTCTTGAACTGTGGTTGAAGTCATCTTTATTTATTGAGAAAAAAGTTGAAATGATGTTTGAGAAAAAAAGAAAACTTTACTCGTTTTTATTTTAATTGAAAAAAGTTTTTCGCTCGCAGAGCAAAAAGTGAGAAAAAAAAAAAAAAAAAAAAAAAAAAGAAATTGTATTGTATTGAAATGATTATGCAAAAAAATTGGATGAGAATTTTGGAGTTTTAATTCCACTTTCTTTTATAGTTTTTTTTTTGCGATTAACTGTCACCCTTTAAAACGACGATCCAATTAAACAGAAGGTTATAATAATAATCTTGATAGTTTATCATAATCATAAAACAAGTCTTTGTACCATAAACTTTTAATGTATCCTAACATATCTCATCAATACTGTCCGACATATTTGGAAATATGATTTCCTCTTTGTTTAGGTTGTATTCCGTGCAACTAAAAAAATAAAGTGGAGCGTGTATTTTTTTTTAAGGGTTTGTTGTTCATTTTCGGCAACTAATAATTGCCATGTGGCAATTTTCTTACACATTAATTAACAACTTTATTCTTAAAAATTCGAGATTTACATCGTAAGACGTTGCATTATCTCTCTTTTATTAACAAAGAACAAAATTTTTTTTCCTTGAATTTCTTTGTAAATGTTCCTCTTTGTAAAATAAAAGTAAGATTGTCGCAAAAAAAAAATAAACTTGGGATTTTGTTTCTAAATTTAAAGAATTATTTATAACCAAAAAAGATTCCCCGTCGATAGTTGACGGAGCTTAATTATTACTGGTAGATCAATACATGATGAATGAACCCACTTTGGGCCTACAAGAACACAAGAATCAATAAGAGGAATCCTGATTAAATAAAACCTTTTTGGAAGTTTTTCTCTTTGAGGAAATATCAACTATGACGAGATATTTTTTTTTGCGGGGTGAGTTCTCACGTTAATCCCAAGTTTTTGTTTTGTGTGATAACTAAAAGAACATCCTTGTCATGATTAATAATTTGTGTAGTACTAAAGGTAAATATTTATACACATTTTTTTTTTCTTACCAGCAAATATGTTGTTACAAAGTGTAATTCCAATGATATCGGATGTTTGAATGTCATCAAATAATTCACCACCTTTTTAGCGTTATTATTTGTAACGTTGCTTTTGCTGAAATTTCATTGTAAAAGTTAAAAAAAAATTGTAACTAATGGGAACAAGGAGATTTTCTTTTCTTTGTTTTAAAAATATCCCTGATTTTTGTGTTATGTTTTGCATTTATGTATGAAGTGTATGAGAAGTATTAAAAGTTTACGACATTGTTTATGCTTATCTTATTTTTATTTTATTTTATTTTATTTTTATTTTTATTTTTATTTCTTTTTTTCAAAAAGATAAAAATAAATTGTTACGGTATTTACTTACCTAACCGACTTCCTTGTTTTGTGAGTTTCACGATCATTTAAGGTACGTAATATTTTGAAGGGAAATTATTAGCAAATGAAAAAAGATGTTTTCTAATCGAAAATATTTGTTACAATCATTAAAGTATTCTTGGTTTTAGTTAGTTTCAAAGATAAAGAAATATGTCGTAGACAATGAATCTATTAAACTGTGTCACCCGTCCTAACTTGTTGACATAACACGGATCGGACCATCAATCTGAGATTTACTGCGGTACACGGTTGTTTTAACTGTCGTCAAAGAACGAATATTTGGTTAATAATATGTAATTCAATACTTCATGGTAGGTAAATAATACGAGTTAGACAACGACTTATCACAAGGAAGTTCTCAATTTTTCGTATCATTGGAAGATGAATGGGAAAAACATTTTTTCCTTTTCTTTTTTCTTACCAAAAAAGGAATTGTAATCAAAAAAAAAAAAAGCCACGAGTTCTTTTTTTTTTATGAAAGGAATGAATGATTCTTTGCGCATGTGCTGTGTGATGCGTGTGTGGTCTACCTAAGGGTTTAATGGGAGTATATTTAGTAATATTTAAATAAATAATGATTTTAATTAGTGAATTAATTAAATTAATGATTTATAAGTAATAAATAACAATTTATCACGCACGCGTATATGCTGTATGCTAAAAGTGTAATTAATGTATGCCGTGAATTTACCAAGAATTTTTCAATTTGCTGTTTCGGATTAACTATTTGGAAAAAAAAATGCAGTAATCACTTTTAATATTTAATATCAGTCACCCTTAATTTTTGAATGAGACCCGATTAGGATTATCAGAATTTTCGCATTGATGAAAGGCCTACATATTAAATTTAAGCCGAAAAAAATAAAAGCCAGAGTGTTTAAATCTTGCCAAATATTTTTTTTGTTCAAAAAAAAAAAAAAAAAAATGGAGATGAAATTACGTTGGGTTAAAATTTTACCTTCAATGTCTTGTTCCGTTCTATATATACTTGAGGATTATTTCTCTTTTACCTTAAATTCAACAAAGTCTTCGTAAATCAATATAATAAATTTACTCTTGGACAAAGGCGTAGTCGTTTTTCCTTTGTCACACTTCTGAAAAAACTATCTCAATGGCACTTTTTTTTTACTTTTAAGGAACAAGCAAGAAGGGAACACCGTAAGATAAAAAAGGGAAAGGTCATGTGATGTCGATCGGTCTTTCTTTTCAAAAATTGCGGCGATCTGAAATAAACGCTTGGAAAAAAGAAAAAAAAAAAAAATTATAAGGAATTATAATTTATCGTTATTTCATTATAGATTCATAATTAGAAAAAAAGGTTTCAAGATATTTACTTCTTTAGTCTTGATTGATAATCAGCAAACGGGAAATGAGGAATTTTATTTTTTTTTTTTTGGCAGTTCAATCAATTTTATCCTTACTTATACATTTAAATTTCCTAGCCGTCAAAATGATTTCACCCTTTTTATTATTTACCGTTATTTTTTCTTAAAAAAACATGAATCCATAAGATCCTTACATTTTTATTTGTAGGTGAGATATTCCATAAACCTTTTTTTGTTACTAAAGAATTAAACTTATCATGCACAAAGAATACCTTTGTTATCTAGATTTGGTGAAGTGATCAAAATTTAACGGCGCAGTTATCATGCGCGGTATTCTCAATAAATAATTTAATCGTGATTTGTAAACAAAGATTTAAAAATGTTTCAAGATGCTTCTCCATCTAATCTTTAATGAAACGGTGATATTTATTAAATTGTAATCCTATTAAAGCAACCAGTCATTAATCAAAAAATAAAAAAATTTTTTTTTTTCCTTCACAAATGAATTCTTCTTTAAATTTGCAAAACAAGAGGATTTTTAAATAAACCTTTCCATTATTGAACGCGACCTAAAAAAATAATTTCTTCCCAAAGAAACATGCTTATTTTTTTCGAATTAAGCAACGTGATTGGCTGAAATCTTTGCATATCACATGACTTGCTGCTTCAGGGAGTTGGTTTTATACGCGTTTTTTCTCGTTCCCACTCAACAACAGTATTCAGCTATAGATTTTATTAGACTTACTATTATTACGCGTCTTGAAGCGAACACTTTTACCTTTTCAATAAAAAAAAATTATAAATAAATAAATAAAAGGACTACCGTTGTCGTTGTATCAAAAAAATATAGAATGAATAAGGAGAATAAAAAGAAAAACAACAAACTTGATAATCATGCGACAACTTCTCGATTAGAAACATTAATTCCTTCAAATAATACTACTCAAAAACATTTGAAACAGCAACAAAATACTACTAATCAACAAGAAGAGCGTCGTCGTTTGTTAGAAGAATTTAAACGCAAAAAGGCAGAAAAACAAAAGTTTCAGTTAAGTTTTACGTGTTCTTTTTTTTACTAAAAAAGTGTTAAAATCAAAATACCTTATTAATTTGGCTCTTTTTTTTTGAACAGGAATAAAAAAGGGAAGGATAAGCCAGTTATAAAAAAGCAAGCTGAAGAAAAACATCCTTTAAACCACACTATAATAAAAACCGAGATAAAAAATGCGGATGCCTATTTGCAATCACCGTTGAAAAATGATGAATCAAATTTAAATAAATATCAAACTCGACATTCTATTAAACATTCATTGTCAATTCCAGTCCAACACAAAGATACATCATTGGTTACTTTGGAACCCTTTGATAATAAAGATCAGTCGGATTCATCTTCAATAAATCAACCAACTGAAAAGGAGAAAAATAAATTACCTAGTCAGATACATTCCTCGATATATTCAAGCCCTGCAATTAAAGCATCTGGAAAGCCTCAGAGAATAAGAACGAAATCAATAACTCATGATAATACTGATGGGATCGTTAATGGTAAAAAAAGTCAACGTGTAAAGTTTGCGGAAAGTGACATGTATAGCACTCCTGCTGGTTCACCTTCAAAAGCTTTGGGCTCCGCAATTAAAGTATCTGAAAAGCCTCAAGGGATAATGGTAAAACAAATAGCTGACAATACTGATGGGATCGTCAACAGTAAAAAAAGTCAACGTGTAAAGTTTGCGGAAAGTGACATGTATACCACTTTTACTAATTCACCTTCAAAAATTTTGAGCCCTGTAATTAAAGTATCTGGAAAGCCTCAAAGAGTAAGTGTGAAACCAATAACTAATGAAAATCCTGATGAGATCGTCAATAATATAAAAAGTCGACGCGTAATGTCGTCTGCGGAAAATGACATGTATAACATTCCTGCCGATTCACCTTCAAAATCTTTATTGCGAGTTTCACACAAAGGTACACCAAACCCTCTTATTTCAACATTTGGAAAAACTCAAAGAATGAAGGGGAATTCAAACGAAATCGATGATGCTACTAAGGTTAAGGAAACACCAATAACGAAATTAGCAACACCTAAAATCTACACAACACCACAAATATCACAAACTCCTCCATCGACTAAACTATTCACTAAAGAACCGTTAGGAAATAGTATTCGACGTAGTAAATTCATATTTGATTCTAAAGATAATGTTACCAGTTCTTCGTCGCGTTTACCAACATTAACACGACTGACATCTAAACGTTCTCCGGCTGTTAACCCTGTAATTTCATCATTTGGAAAAGCTCAAAGAATTAAAGTTGTAAGAGATGAGGATAATGAAGATTCCGAATTTCTTTCACCTAAAGTATCAGACTATACAAGTGATACAACAAATGAAGAGAATAGTAATGATGGGGCTAAAGCAAGACACTTCTTTTCTATCTTAGCGTCAACACCTTTTAAAGCACCGGTTAAGAAAGCTGGTAGATTGTTAGATTTTTCGCAAGCTAAAGAATCAAGTTTCGATGATTCCTTCACCGGGCAAAGTGAAGACAAGTGCGTTAATGAACTTATAATTATGGAAAAAGGTTCTTCAATTACCGAAAATTGTCAAACGCCCGAATTACAAAAAACTAGTGTTTCTCCCAAATCGATGTCACCTTTCTTTAAAGACATTTCGATACAAACATCACCTTTTTTGTTAAATCAAGAGGATTCGACAAAAAAATTTAAACCGTGAGTAATTATATTAACAAAGTGTTTTTAAAGTATGTATTTGAAATAACAAATGAATTTGAATTATAGTGACTTTACCAAGTGGACAAGACATTATGTGTTAATCGTGTATGATCCTGATACATATGATATCAAATATAAACAAGTCGTTCCAATCCCAACTATAACTTTTTTTTCCATCAAAGATGCCGTTCATGTAGCCTGGGTAATTTTTTTTTAAAAAAGGATGGCCTGATAATAAAATCGTTATCTTTCAGCACGTTAGTTTAATTAATCATTCTATCATTCTTTATTATTCAGACGGGATCAGAGTTGTTGGCACGAGCGATGTTTTTTATTTTAGAAGCAGATTGGCCCTCTCACTCCAAGAAGGTTGGAAGTTTGAAGGAGAGAATTCCACCATGTGAAAAAGCTGAATATTGGATCGAAAGAGCTAAATTTGAGGAACGTTGTATGCAATATGAAGAGGCTTTACGATTATATGAGAAGGCTGAAGAACTTAACGCAAAGGTATGGTTTAAGATTTTCAAGATGTACCGAACCTTTAAATTAAATAATGATTTTTTATAATTTTTAACAGCCAGTCCAGTTAGTCAAGGAGGAACGGGAGAAATTCTTGGCCAGAATATGTATATAACAAATATTTAGCGCGTTTTATAAAATTCTTTTTCCTAAAAAATCGTCGTTGTTTTATTCTTAGGTTCCTTGTTCGAATCAATTCCGAGTCTAGAACATGAAGAGTTAATTGATTATCAAGATGATTCTGACGAAAATAATTATTATTTGGATGATAAAGATTATTTGTTAGATGACGACTTGTCAGCTTTACTTGAATATGAAAGTTGCATATTTCATGAAAACGACGAATTCAACGAACAATCGCAAACAAGTCGTAACAATATCAATGAAGGTCAGGATTTAGTTGAAGCTTTGAATGATTTATCGTTCAATATTAAACCGAAGAGAAAAACGAGAAAAGATGATAATTCTGAACAAGAAACTCCTAAATCAATTGATTCTTCCTTGACTTTATTAACCACAGTTAAAGCAAAAAAGAAGGAAAGAGAAGGTATGAAAAATTTTAATCATCGTTGTTCGATGAATGCATCATAATAATAATTTATACCTGTCGTCAATGTAGAATTTGGAGTTGAAAGAGTTATAACACCTGTGAGACGATCCGCAAGATTTCACAAGATTTCGTATTCTGATGATGAACATCAAACGCCGGAAGATCGAGAAATCGCAACGTTATTAGAAGAAAATGGTATTACATACGTCCCCAATCGGGTAAGAATAAAGATTTAATATTATTCATGAATTTAACATTGATATTCATTAAAAATTCTTTTTTTTTTTTTTTTTTTAGGCTTTATATTACAATAAAAATTTAACGCCTTTAAAGAGGTCATCTAAAAAGAACAATGAACAAGATTGTGATATTGATAATGTGATTGTAGTGAAACAGAAAACAATGTCAGGTAAAAAGACTGTTACTTGGGAAGATTTAAAGAAATAAATCGCACTTAATTTGTTAAGGTATTAATTAGGTTATAAATAAATTTAATAAATCTCTATTTGGTTATTATATTGATTAATGCGATATATACAGTGAGCTAATTGTTTCTAAATTAAGTGTATGATTATTATAAAATACATGAATTATCAAGTTTTCGGAAGTTTTAGAATTATATTTTATTTATTTATTTTTTTTTTTCTTTTGTTAATTTAATAAATAATTACAACTCGATATTTGTCTGGAAAATAAAAAAGATTAAGAATTAAGATAACTAGGAAACTTTGAGAAAAAAACAATTATACCAAGTATATATACTTCATAACAAACATTACAAACCTATTATTAATTATTGTTCATCTTTAATTGCTACCCCTTCGTCCTCTTCGCTTTCTTCTATTAATCCTTCATCATCGTCAGATAATCGAGGAACCTTTTCTTTTATTAAACCTTCCTCATCATCATCATCGTCATCATCCTCCTCATCACTCCTCTTTCTTTTTTCACCCCTTGGAGTTTCATCTGAATCTTCCACAATTTCACCATCACCATCATCACTATGCAAAGGAATATCATTATTCTCTTCCTCAAATTTTACGGTATTCTTTTCATTATCACTTGTTACTACATCCCCATCATCCAGATCCTCAATTTCGACATTTTGATTCAACTCTGCCTCATCAGGTGAATCTTCAATTGTTGAGGCATCATCATCATCATCACCATCACCATCACCGTCGTCATCATTACGAACCTCTGCCTCTTCATCTGCAACCAATTCACCAACCAATTCACCAACTTCTTCACCAACTTCAGTTAAATTATCCGAAGAGCTGACTTCCTGACTTTGTTGTTGTGGAGAAATTTGTTGTTTATTTTCATCATCGTTCCTATTCCTACTGTTCCTACTATTCCTATGAATATCACTTCCTTCATCATCTGCAATATTACTAGTAGATGATGAATTGATTCCGTTAATACCATTTACTTGTGGAGGGCTATTATTGCTATTATCCTGTTCAGCGGGTGAAGAAGGATTATTAATCGGTGAAACGATTTCACTCCTCATAGAATCAGGTGTTGTAACAGCTTCTTCCTCGTCACCAATAGCTTGAGGGGTTTGTTCTCTTTCTACTACAATCTCGCTTTGTACTTCCTGTACTACTGTTAGTATACGTTGAAGTTGTGATCTACGACGATCTAATGTTTCGTCTAATAATCTATCTTTTTCTTCAAGCGAAAGTATTTCTTCATCTAATTTTGCAATCGCACTGAAATTTTTTTTTTTTTTTTTTAATAAAAAAAAAAAAAAAGGGTTGAATGTAATTAGTCCCATCATAAAATTTACGATTGTTTAAAAATGGATGAATTAAATAATATCAATTTAGCTACTTTAATGATTCCTCACGAGTTTTTTGTTCATTGATTTCAACTGCTAATTGATCATATTCTGTTTTATTTCTACGTATTTCTTCTTCTTGTGCCAAATCTTTCTCCAAATTCTTGATGACCAACATGGTCTGCTCAATCTCTTGTTCTATATAAACAAATTTCTATTAGAATATTTTCTGATAAATTGAAAATGAAATTGGTGAAAAATATACCAATTCTTCGAGCTTCTTCGTTCCAATGTTGTGTTTCTTGCAAATTCATATCATGAATCGCTTGAAATCGAGTAAGGGTAAGTTCATACGACGAGAAATCGACCATGAAATCATTAAACTGTTGTCGTCTACAAAATGAAAAAGGCTTAATTTTATTTTTTTTAAAAAAAAAAAGGGCTACAAGTTAAAAGGGAGTGTTCATGTACATACGCATCTTTAATGTTTCCTTGTTCCAAGGAATTCATTAAAGCGACATGCTTCCTAGTAACGCGGCGGAGGTTTCTCTCTTCAACAGAAAGTCTATCACGTATGATTTGTTCTATAGAAATCCGAAGTGCGTAAGATTTTATAAGACATCAGCTTAATGAAATTTTTTGTTTTTAAATAAGAAACGTTGAAAGAAAATTCGATAAATTGCACCTTCGTCCATTATCAGAAATAGGTTTATTACTTTGGAGAATTAAGAATAGAATACAACAATATATGCTTGAAGTAATAAAAATCCAATTATTTATGTAAATAGCATAATAACACGTCAGAAAATAATTTTTGATAGTCATATTATTATGTCAGCCAAATAAAAATTTTCAAAATCAGTTTTTATTATAAGGATCTTAACGAATGAAGTTGGCTAACGCGTTTTGCAGATTCTTTGACAGCAAAATTTATCAATAAATTACAAATCAATCTTTTTGTAAACAACTAATGGTGGCTTTTTTTAGGCTTGTGAGTATAGCCTTATTCATGATGTTTGTTTTTTTAAGTTTTAAAAAAGATTTTTGAGTTGTGGTTACCATCTAAATCAAAAAAAAAAATTT